TGACCAAGTATTGAGCTGGACTGCAGCTGCAATAGGCTATGTACCTGGTGTTGTGTGTGGGCTTCTGAAGCTGAAGCAGACATGTCAGATAAATGAACAGGTGTGGATGCCTCTGGTATGAACAGAGGCTAGATTGTTCTGTCTATGGTTAAAACTTGTGATTGCTTTGCTCAGTAATCATGTAAGACAAGATCCCTCTGGCCGTGGCAAATAAAACATAAAATCGAAAGCATTCTACACTAGTGCTTTCATATGTGTAAAGAAGTTTCCTCTATTTATCAATGTCGGTATTCAAAGTTTGACTCAACAATGGAGCCCATTAGTTTCCATGGAGACCTTTAAGCCGAGCAACTAGATACAAATATGTTTTGCAAATTCCCCCTAAGAAATGCATATAGTAGACTCTTGGGGGTTATAAGCTAACCTCTAAGCTTCTTCCTTCACGTTATGAGGCATTGACAGCATCAGGAAGTTCTGAATCCTTCAGAACCTAAGCAAACATCAAAGATTTTTTTAACTACGGATTAAAAGTTTACAACTTCACAAGAGATTTGAAAAGCAATGAGATTCGAAACTACAAAACAAAAAAACTGGACAAGTGAGCCATCTACACTTTCTTCCAACCATGTTCACGAAAGAGACAACAACCATAAGCTCTTCCTGATCTAAAAGACAACAATCAGATGAATTTGATTGCACATTGCATACTCAAAAACTGCAATCGAAACAGATGTAAACTTGCAAACAGACAGAGATAAGAACGTAGAAATTGGACACGGGACATGTTTTAATCGGTCTAATAAATTAGTAAATAATTGGGCTCAGGCCCAATAATTACATAACATTATTATTATTGGCTTCCCAATTCTTAGGGCACAGATCAAACAAACGAAATTCTGTTTTCTTCTCACGCGAAGTCTTCTTCACTTGGCTTTAGCTTGAACTTCTGTTTTGCTGTTACTCTTCTTCAGATAAGCTAGCTGTTATATTCTTACGGGTAATTGTAGCTAGCTGTTACTCTTCTTCAGATATCGAATTAATCTCGAAAGTGTTTGTTTTGTAGAGACTTTTTTTTTGTTGCCCTTAATGTGTTTGATAGAATGCCTCTGAGACGGCCTTGTGACTGTCTCTGACTTTTTCGTGTTCATCGCAGTAAACCAACTCATCTTTCGACTTAAGAAGACATGGGGAAAGCTTCTCGGGACAAAAGGGTATGTCTTGAATTGAATTTATTAGGTTCTAAGAACATGAAGTAAAAGCTGCGCATTTGTCCGAGTAAGATTTTACTATACTTGAGAGTTTTGATAGTGCATTTGTTCAATTGTTTGCAGGATATCTACTATCGAAAAGCCAAAGAAGAAGGATGGCGTGCGAGAAGTGCGTTTAAGCTTCTTCAGATTGATGAAGAATTCAACGTTTTTGAAGGTGATCTCTGAATCCTTCATCTTTTTCTCTTTTGAATTTTACCAAATGAATGAATGCAGTACTGTTTAGCGAAAATTCTGCAGCTGAACAATGTGATATGTAAAAAAATAACGATAATGTAAAGCTTCCTGACTTCGTCGTCTTAATAATATGCAGGAGTCAAGAGGGTAGTAGATTTATGTGCTGCACCTGGTAGCTGGAGTCAGGTACGTGTTATGTGATGTTGAATTGATTTTACTCACGTTTGGTAAAATGTGATTTGGCTTTGTAAGTTAGCTAATCTCTTATGTGTGAATTATAACTACCGCCGACCTTTTTGCATAGAAGAATCTGTTTAGAGAGTATGTAGCAGGAACTAGAGCTATTTTTTTTAGATTGCTTGGGTATATTTTATCACTATGACGACCTTTTTGCATAGGAATGTAGTTGAGTTGGAATCTCAGTTAGCTATCTTAATTCGGTTTGTGTAGTATGGGTTGAGCTAGATAGAGGAAGGTAATAGGCATTAGGAAACTGCGTTGGGAGTGCAGGGGATGCTCTAGAATTCATCTCTAAGGTCATTTGGTTTGGTTTGTTCTTATTCCATTGTCTGTTCCTCGGTTTGTTGTGTATACAATTAAGAGAAACGTGTTCTGAATCTGATCAATGCACTTCATTTGTAGGTCTTGAGTCGTCAATTGTATCTTCCTGCAAAATCCTCAGCTGAGTCAAAGTAAGTATCATTTTTTTTAATTGTGCCCGTTTAGTAATCCACACTTGTTGTCAAAGTCGAACTGATTTGTTGCCGCTGAACCACTTTGCAGAGAAGATCTTCCTCTTATAGTGGCCATAGATTTGCAGCCTATGGCTCCAATCGAAGGTGTCATCCAGGTTCAAGGGGACATAACTAATGCTCGGACTGCCGAAGTGGTGAGATTTTCTCGACTCCCATCTCCTAGATTTATCTCGATCTATTTGTTCCTCCTCCATTATGCTTGGATTTCGTGTTTGTTTCTAAGGCTTACCCTTTTCCGTTTTCTCTTCAAGGTCATTAGACATTTTGACGGTTGCAAGGCTGACCTGGTTGTTTGTGATGGTGCTCCAGATGGTAAAAACAGTAGCTACAGTGTCTGTTTCACCGTTCAATTTTTGCCACTTGCTATCAAAATAAGTAAATAATGTCTTCTACAATTTGGTTTGCAGTTACCGGTTTGCATGACATGGATGAATTTGTCCAGTCCCAACTCATACTAGCGGTAAGTTGCTTGGTTTCTGTTAACAAGAATCAGTGTGTCATGTTTGATCAGAATTTAGCATTAACCCAAAGCAACTCCGTTTTTTTCCCCCTCAGGGCTTAACAATTGTAACCCATATTCTTAAAGAAGGTGGAAAATTTATTGCAAAGATATTCCGCGGAAAAGATACAAGTCTCTTGTATTGTCAGGTAAGTTTTAGATACTGTGTTTATGAAATTGCCTGTTGCTTTTACTGATACAGTTTATTTCATTTCATATGTATAGCTGAAGTTGTTTTTCCCAACTGTAACTTTTGCGAAACCGAAAAGCAGCCGCAATTCAAGTATAGGTAAAAGACTATAACTTTCACATGTGCAAATATGATTTGCTTACACTGAAGTTTAATCATCAAAGATGTAAAATGTTGCTTTGTTTTAGAGATACTAATTGCATTTCTCCACTTTTTCTTATAGAGGCTTTTGCGGTCTGCGAAAATTACTCCCCACCAGAAGGATTTAACCCGAAAGATCTGCATCGTCTCTTGGAGAAAGTCGGAAGCCCTTCAGGTGGAAGCGATCTTGGTAAAAAAATCTCGTATCTTCATCTTCAAGTTAGCACAACTAACTTTGTGCATTGTTGAGTAGTACACTTACAATTTACTCATTCTCAACCTAACACTCACCTAAAAATGCTCTCTTCATGTGAATTTAACCTTTTAGGCAAGACAAAGAAATCTTCTTCACTGTTACGTCACCTTCATAAAATGATTTTTTGTTTTTGTTATTGTTCTTGAGATTTTCCATTTTCTTGATACTCTGCAGATTGCAGTAGTGGTTGGCTTGAAGGACCCAACAAAGTTTATATTCCATTTTTGGCATGTGGTGACTTAACCGGTTATGACTCAGACCGGTCTTACCCACTCCCTAAAGAAGCAGATGGATCGTCGTACCAGAGTTTGGACCCGGTTCAGCCACCGATCGCACCGCCTTATAAACGAGCTCTTGAGCTCAAGAAAGCTTCAGCACAAAGCTTCAACACTTGAGGTAATAACACAAACATTGTAAAAGAAGAAAGGTTTTCATTGGATTCTTTTCCATGGACCAACAATTTTCTGAAACGCATAATGTTTGTAATGATGAAGTTACATATTTTATATAGTTTTATACTTTAAATTCAATATTTCCTCGACTATGAAAGCATAAGATATTGGGTCAATAAAGACAAAGCTGTTTTTGTCTTATGGTCCTTTCCTTTGATTACGACCCGCTTTTTGAATTCCATAGACTGGGCCATTTCGTTTTTTTTGTTTTGTTTCTATTATTTTTTAAGTTTTTGCATAAGAATGAAATTAATTAAATTTATCGTTAGAAGCAAAATAATATACCACGAAAATTCATCGATTAAAAGGTTCATTTGGAATTCGAAAGCTGCTCAACTTGGAAAAGAAAACTAGATGTAAACGGTGAGACTTGATCAAAATGTATGAAACTAGTAGCATCACAACATTTAATTTATGTTGACACAATCAAAATGTCTTAAATTGCGAAATAAACTTTAATCATTTACCCTATGGTTTATTTCCTCTGTCGAAATTTATAAGTTGGTAATAATAATAAAAAAAAAAACATTTCGTTTGTAGTTTGCAACGAAACTCAAAAAGAAATTTGAGGAATTATACTTTTGTAATCACTAGCTAAATTAAATCATTAAATCGCAAGAAAGAAAAAAAACTATAATCAATATGCAATTCTTTTACATTACAAAACAAACAAAAATTCTTAGAGCTTTTTATTTTATTTTATTTGACCTGAACCTGAATTGGGTCAAACCCATTTAGCAAGACCACGCAGAGATGGAGTTTGATCTTGACATAGAAGAAGAAGAGTTCAAGAACTCGATACAGTCTTCAATGGCTTCTGCACGGTGAGACTCTGATTCGTTTAAAGACTTTGACTTCATCAGATAAATA